AGTTAATTAACAAACGGAGACGTAACAATATTTTGTTTACGACGACCGTTGGTAGCTAACAGATGCAAGGATTTAATTTATATTGCTTACATTGCACGTTGGTAACTAACAGAAGCAATTCTTGAAATTATGCTGTTTACGATGTAAGTTGGTAGTTATTAGATGAAAGATGTAAAGTTATGTTTTTACGATGTAAGTTGGTATTTAACACATCCAAGGTTTGAAGTTATGTTGTTTACAATGTAATTTGATAGTTAACAGTTAAGTTGTTTACCATATACGTTGATAACTAACATATGCATGGTTTGAAGTTGTGGTAGTTAGGATGAAAGTTGATAGTTAACAATAGCACGGTGTGAAGTATTATTGTTTACAGCCTACATTGGTAGTTAACACCTGCAATTTTTTATATTATGTTCTTTACTATGTTAGTTGGTAGATAACAGAAGCAAGGTTAGAAATTATGTTCTTTACGATGTTAGTTGGTAGATAACAGAAGCAAGGTTAGAAATTATGTTGTTTACCATGTAAGTTGGTAGTTAACAGTTGGAAAGTTTGAAGTTAGGATGCATACAATGAATGTTGGTAGTTAACAGTTGGAAAGTTTGAAGTTAGGATGCATACAATGAATGTTGGTAGTTAACAGTTGGAAAGTTTGAAGTTAGGATGCATACAATGAACGTTGGTAGTTAAGAAGTGCAAAGCATTAAGTTATGATGTACCTTGCTAGTTAACCCTTTCAGCATTGGCTGATGGAGTTTGTATAATTTTGATTGGGAAAATACATATATGGAATAAACATATTGTATCTTAAAGCATTCCTCACAAAACCTCATAAGATTTTCTTAAAGTTTATAAGTATTTTGAACGCGAAGTATGACATTGTTTTAATTACGTCTTTGTAATAAAACTATTATTTATCTATAGTAGTTAGTTACACTCAAACTGTTAAATAGTGCAAGGTGATGTCCATATTAAGTATAAAAATACCTGTCTTCGTCTTATAGTTTCCATATTTCATTTGCCTAATCTCTAGTTTCTCCTCAAACGATATCAAAAGGTTTTTAAAGGTAAATGTGTATAATTTATTTTTCATTTTCTCTACCATATCACTAACTCTAGCTATTGTCATCAACGTATAATGCAATGAAATAATTAAAATTGGGAACTATAAAAATAATACATACCTTTTAGTTTTTGTTGAATATCTTTAAATGTTTTCCTTTTTTAAATTCGTAATTTCAGGTCTTTTCCTTTTGACATTTAGTTAATTTGTAATGTATTCTTTTTCCTTCGCCACATATTATTCGTCTCGACACAAGTCAACGGTACACTTAAGGCATATTACAGTTTGTTTGGGAGACATGCGCA